AGAGAGAGAGAGGTGGGGAGAGGGGGGGAGAGAGAAAGAAAGAGAGAGAGAGAGCGAGAGAAAGAAAGAGAGAGAGAGAGAGAGAGAGAGATAGATAGAGAGAGAGAGAGAGAGAGAGATGGACAGAAGTAAGGATGTCACCTCTACACTAGAGAGGCTGTATTGATTACAGACGGTAGACTCCAGAACGCACAAAACATAGATTAAAATCACTCAAGAGACCAAAATATTGACAAAAAAACACCAATGGCACAAGTGATGTCTTAAAGATCAGGGAATGAAGCTGGAAAGAGTCAACATTATCGACAACTTAAATATACAGTCGAACCTTCTCTAATGGCCATCTATCTAAGACTGTAAACTGTACAAAGGACCACTTCACACGTAGCCCTTGGTTATTTTTTCCCACTGTTTTTACGACACTGTCCAAAACCCTTATCTGTGTAAGACAACCACTGCTCTCATCGATAATAGATGGCCGTCCCAGACAATTTCGACAGTGTTTCCTGGGTGTTACAAATATACATACTATGAGAGATGGAGTCATCATTCTGGCTCAATACAAATGTTAGAAACATTCGCGCATTGGTCTTCTTGAAAATCCTGTAGTTTTACATATTCGTCGCAGACCCTAACAGAAAGCATTAGGACGAAGACATATTCATTGAAAAGGAGATGCATTCGTAGCCCTGGACTTTAAAAAAACAACAAAAGTCATAATGTATAATATCACGAGTGATGACATAAAAATCATAATAGGTTATACAACGGGTCATAGAAAGATCCACTGACAATAGTGGCGAAACATATGGGTACCTTTGAATTACAAATCTCTATCTGAGAATTTGGGGGGTTTTAAGTTACAAAAACCACGAGGTCAGAAACCAAATGTTCTATCTGCTCTATCAAAATCGTAAGATTATTCGGAGTCGTTCTCAAGAAATTCAAAGAACTGCTTTCGAAAACACGTGACATGTGTTATGAAACTCAAAATGTTTTACGACGAAGCTCTCAAAGCTAGGTACTGACCAGATAGAATTTTGTAGCTCTAAGGTAGCGATATGCGTCATTCATACAAGCACATAACACATCTCAAGACTTCATTAAAACCCTGCAGGGGACAGTAAAAACGGGGAGGAAAGTAACGGAGTGTCCAGGAGAGGACGAGGTGGGAGGAGAACATCACAGAACGGACGAGCCAGGGCTGAACAATGCATTTCGAAAAGCAGAGAGCATGGATGGAAGGGGGGGGGGGGGTGCTTGTTGTTTTGCTGTTTTGTCATTCCAAGTGGTCCATCGGTTGATGGCTACCGGATAGGTACGGATTAAATGGCGTGATTGTGTGGTATGTCATGATGTTGTATGGCATTGTAAAGTGTGATACGGCACGGCACGGTACAGCGTGGCACGGTACTGTACGGAACAGCACGGTATAGTAAGTACGTCACGGTAAGGTATGGTATGGTATGGTGACATTATTTATACTGCGTGGCATTTTGTGGTATGGGATAACGTGGTGATACATTGTGTCATATTATTAAAAAGCAAAGAATGTCTTAAACTAATAATAATATGATATATATGGTATATTAATAAAAGGTTATTTACATGGTACTAAATGTGTCTTTCAAACTTTTACCCATCATGTTCACTTAAAATTGTTAACTTCCAGACGCCCCACATTTTGAGCAAACAGATTCCAATCACATTACACAAAATACTAATAATAATTATAGTAATGCAAATAATTTCTATAATGCATACTCTCATACAATGCAGATATAGGCGCTTTACAAAATATTCATCTTAACACAGTGCACACGTACATGAACGTCCATACATCTCTATCAGGAGGGTTCGTCCATAGAGCATGGTCGTGCAGTGCCGCCCAAAAATGTGTATTGTTCTTTTACGTAAAGCACCCACAATAATAAAATAAAAGACGCCAGAAACAAATACTAGTCAAATATTATATCAAAACAAGGTCCTTGCAGGCGCCGTAACTGCCATTTCTGTGTCTATAGCGCCGTAAAAGAAAGCGCACGCGCATTAACTAAATGTACTAGGAGATTCAATAGTGATAACCTGACCTATAAATCGCTCTTTGTGACAATCCAAGCGATGACGACACTCGTAGCGAGTTAGGCGGTACATTAATAAGTCAGCACATCTCAAATATGCTCCTGCCGAATAGTGCCGAAACATAGCCCACTGTAGGCAGTCTAAAAATAAACGCCATAGACTGTGAACAAATTATATGAGCCCCGGAGCAATCCAGCAGAGTGCTCAAGTGAATTCTGATTGGTTCATTGTCTTGCCACTAGGGTATTTTAAGTGACTCTATTACCGTGAACCTGAGAGAGTTGAACGAGACATAATTAAGTCACCGTCCTATGAGTTGTGTCTTTGGATGGTTTTGTTGTGGAGTGGTGAACGTTATTACCGGGTACTTCGGTGTTCGGTTCTAATGCAGGATGAACGAAATTGATGTTTAGCTAACAAACAGATTTAGTTCTAGAAATCAAAGTGAAAAGTAAAAGGAATGGAAATAAAAGCACGAGGTCCTCCCTCACCAACCCAGAGATCCTAAAATTATGCACCATCCCATTTACTATACCCTTGGCTATCTTCAACTCGTGATAGCTTAATTAATTGTGCATGCCTACTTTTTAGCCCCACGAGCCGCCCCTGAATTTTCTATAGATTAATGCTAAAAATAAACACACATTCATAATATCACAGCACATTTGATGACTATATGCCCATCACATTATGAAGATAAGAGATAGCGGACAATGAATAAGGAGGACTGAATATCAAGGTGATATTTCATAAGATTTGTTTTTAAATGAATTTAATATTTAACCTTTGGCTTTTGTGCCCTTCTAATGTTGTGGGATTGAGTTCCAAATTGGAGGAGCTAGATGAGAAAAGCCCGCCCATTCCTTTTCTCCCCCCCCCTCTTGCTCCCACCCACCTTCCCTATCAGCCTCACTCCCCTCCAAAAAACGACTTTGTGACCTCGATTCCCAGATGTTCTAATGAGAGAACGATCTTCTGATCTTTGAGATTTTGGTGAAATATATACATAAATGTATAAAATTCGCAAATCAATATCTGATGCTAAATATTGTTCATACATGAACGCATAAGAATCATCGGCATATAATATGTGAACTTTTAAATATTGTTTTCTAACAATAACATGATCAAAAGGTAAAGTGAAAAGGGTATATATAAAATTGGGCCAAACACTGAGCCTTGTGTCATGCCATAATCGAGATCAAAAACGCCGATTGGGTCCAATCTCGTAAATAAAATTCAAACCAGTCAAGAGAACTAGTTAAGAACCATATTAAAAATTCCCTATTTTGTTGTTGACAATCGTTATTTAATTATAGAATTTTCGATAACATTAAAAGCTGCACTTAGGTTAAGAGGAGCATGAACAAAGATCTTCACCAGCCACACACAATACATCAGTGCGTATCGTAAACAGAACAGTCTCTGAATTCTAAAACTCAAAAATTTCGACTGTATAATTTATTAAATTATTATGATGGAAACGGTCTTACAACTGAGTCAAAACAGCTTTGACTTTGACATTCGATATTTAAAGAAAACAGCACATTTCAGACCTGTCAAACATTGTCAGGTTACAGATTATGATTTCTTATGGAAGGAGAGAAAAATAGCATTTTAAAACGTGAGGGTACTTTTGCAAACAATCAAATCCCGTTTTTAAAGAATTGCTGAAAACAGCCTGTGTGAGCGTAAACTTCATCTTATCCTTTGAGGAATAAAAAAATATTAGTCTTCATGAGTATGCGGGCGCCCTTGAGCGCCCCCGTTTGTGTGTGTGTGTGTGTGTGTGTGTGTGTGTGTGTGTGTGTGTGTGTGTGTGTGTGTGTGTGTGTGTGAGAGAGAGAGAGAGAGAGAGAGAGAGAGAGAGAGAGAGAGAGAGAACGAGAGAGTGTGTGTGTCTGTGTATGTGTGTGTGTACGTGTGTGTATGTGTGTGTGGTGAGGTGTGTATTTTTCCCGGGGGGGGGTTGGGGGGGTGAAGGGCATGTTTCGTTCGTGTTTTCCAGTCTCCGCATCGACACGAGCACAGAGGGCGTGTGTGTGAAAGTTGCGGAGGGTGGATGAGAGAAACACTTCTCAACTGAAAGATGGAGATCATAATAGGCCGGAATAATCTCATTCAAGAGTCAATAGAAATCACATCCCATCGACAGACAGGTTCTCGTCCTGGGTTTATTTTCTTCTTAAAAACTAGCACTTCGTTCTTATCAAATCTAATAATTCACTATCTGTTTAACAAGAGCTAACATGGTGTGTCTTGAGTTTCCGCGGTCTTTGTTGTGACGTCATGCTTGGGTGACGGTGTGAGTAAAGCATTGGACCGTCTACTTGGCTGCAGAGCTCCTCCCACTTCTGTTGACTCCGTGTTCCCTACGCCCATGTGGGCGTTGTTCTGTCCGCCACATGCGTGCTCGTTCTCCTGAAGAACGGGGAAGACTCGCATGAGACGCTTTTTGGACAACATGTTATGTAGCTCTCTCCGAAACCGTGAGCCAGTCAGGCAGTACAGAATAAAGTTAATTGCGTTATTGAGGTACATTATTAAATTAACGATCGTGAAAGTTAAATGAATTATTTCTTTTTCTCGAGGCGTCTTTGCCCACTTCACCCAGTAAGGTTCAACGATAAAGAAAATGCTTACAGGAGTTGTTGTGATGAGGAACATGATGTTGAGAACAAGCAGTATTGCTGTCATCGATGCTGTACGATCCACCCGTTTCGCATGAGGCACTGGAAAAGCCGGGGCAGTGTGCCGAATCCGGGAGACAGTTCTGGGTTCATTTTCTGTACCGCCGTTTGCCGTTGAATTGATGGCGGCGTTGGTTTCAAGAGTACCTATCCTCTGCGTCGTTCTCCGACTTTTGACGACCCGTGTCGCTATGCACACATTCCCGATTATAAAAATAATGAAGGGAACTAAACTAAAGACGCTGAAGTCAATCCAAGGCCAAGCACTTTGTGCAAACAATCTGTATTCGTCTGTGGCGTAATAACAGACGGTAATACCGCTAAAGTTGGCATTTTTTCCGAACACGACGAACTCGAATCCAAAAAGGAAGTGGCTGTTGAGGCCCAGAAGGAGTATGATGATGATGCAAATGACAATGACGGACGTGAGTCGTGTGCAGTAGGATTTGACCTTGTGTGGCGTGAACACGGAAAGGAATCTCTCAAAGGTGAAGGCCACGAGAATCCAAACTGAGATATCGAGGGAGGCGTACACCATCATGATGTTGATCTTACATCCCAGCTCTGTCATGGCTCTGGAAGAACAGAAACAGAAACAAAGAAAATACAATAACAATTTCTAAAATTCACGGAGGGAAATTTATTTCACGAATTGCAAAGGGCTTAAAATGATTCTGAAAAATTCAACATGCAACTTAAAATTTGCTTTGCTACGATACCTGCTAGTCAGCGGACACAGTTTAACAAAGTTAATGCGATGGGTCTCAGCCGTGTAACAAAGCTCGTTGTGCTTATTGTCACACCCATGTGACCTCATATCTCTTTGTTAATTTGTACCTTTTCAAAAGCCGAAAGCTTTCAGTCACTCTCCTGTCTGTCTGTCTGTCTGTCTGTCTGTCTGTCTGTCTGTCTGTCTGTCTGTCTGTCTCTTTCCCCCTCTCTCTCTGCATTACTTTATATATCCCCAGTAACCCCTCGCCTGCTCTTTTTCACGCTCGTTTTCTTTCCCCAATTCTCACTCTCTCTTCCAATGGTTTTTCTCTCTTCTTCCTTTTCACTCTATCTGACGCTACGATCTCTCAGCCTGTATTGATCTCTCTCTTCTCCTCCACTTCTTTCTCTCTCTCTCTCTCTCTCTCTCTCTCTCTCTCTCTCTCTCTCTCTTTCTCTCTCTGCCCCCCCCCTTCTCTCTCTCTCTCTCTCTCTCTCTCTCTCTCTCTCTCTTTCTCTCTTTTTCTCTCGCTCTCTTTCTCTCTCTCTCTTTCTCTCTCTTTCTCTCTTTCTCTCTTTCTCCATATTTCCTCCTCTCTCTTCCCTCCTTCCCCCCTCTCTCACAATCTACGTGAGTGGCCACTTCATAATTACACTTTGTTCTGAATTACAGTGGTTATGAAAGCTCTGCGTTGTCCTAGAATTTATAATCGCCTCGTTTAATTAAAAGTTCTTCCTTTGACGTACCAGATGTGAAAAGAATTGATTACTCACAGACACGCGCCAACCCACACTACTATTGTAGGAGCTCACAAAAACCAGACTCACTTCCGTTTGTATGGAGAACAAACTTTGTCTATATACTGAGTACTCCAAGAATTAGCTAGAACTTAAACTAGGTAGGCATGAGAGGGAGCCGTAAACACTGTCCTGAATTCTTTAAGACAATATGTTCGATCAGCAGCAGAATTAGGACAATGCTTTTTTCACATTTTGGAACCATCATAATATACAAACAGAAGCAAGAACTTAACTTTTTTCTATTATGCATGTTGTTTTCCGCTTTTAAAGTATCAGAAAGGAAAACGAATTAATTAATGAACAATCTGCTTGAATAAAGAAGTTACGCCTCTCTTTCAAAGTACCTCCAAAACTGTGCGCGTCTTCAAGTTTTAGAGCTGTCCAGTGAACAGAACGGTCGATCTCAATATGTTAAGAGCACAACAAATCTAACGTTCGATGATCGAAAGTAACGAGAGAAAATATGTCAATGTAGTGGTTAACTTTCTAAGTGTTGTAAGCAGAAACTATTCGACGTTAATAGAAAAGGAACAGATGCTGATGTGGAAGAAAACGCAGACATCATTAGAAAATATGATATATGACACTGCAGAACATCTCTACAACATGTTAAGCTAAATTTTCAGAAGACCTTAACAGTTCTTCTTAAAGAGTAAATTTTATTTCATATGAAGGGGACTCTGCAGTTAAATACTATTTTTTATTGTAGTCTAGAGGACTTGACCTCCTTCAGAACGCCATGGTGCATCATAGTTTTGAAATTTCCCATACCTAGTGTACTTATTCTCTCCCTACTGGCATTGAATGAGCACATTAAAACGTAGCCTGAAACATTAAAATCATTCTTTAACAGCGTCAACACAATCCAAACCAATTCACATGATAGAGTCATACTAGATATTGAGAAACATAATTCAGTGGATCGAGTCGGGAAATGAGCCCTGGAGTAATCCGTGAGTGTCCATTGTCTTCTAAGCGCCGGGAGTGTTCACCTCACAATACCCACAGACAGTGAGGACCTTTACCACGGGGGAACAAAAGAATAATTCATTAAGGTGGGGCGTATGAATAACCTCTCAACACATTCTGTCCAAGGCGAACTTTCATGTTGGTAACGTTCATTTACAGGGAAAGGGAAGCTATCAGAGCTGCGATCTTTTGAAATAAAAGTATCAGTTTAAAAGCCTCGCACTATCAGAGTGGGGCACCATGAATTCGCACCCACCTTCAAAAATAAAATAGGTCACAATTCGAAGAAGCTTATCCTGAACTCACCCACTCTCCCCCCCCCCCCCCCCCTCCATCGTCAGTTTAAATATGGCTAAATGAGACAGTAACTGTGAACTCAAATACGCCCTACTACTCCAGCTACATCCACACAGAGAGCCAAGGAAGGGGAAAAAAGTATGCATGTGTATTGGGGTAAGGGGTGGGGGTGCTCAGTTTATGTCTGGAGTCACGAGGGTGAGTGCGTCAAACGATGCCCAGGCTTACGTAACACAATGTGTGGATGGTAGAAGTTTTTTCGAAAGCCCTAACGACAGAAAAAAGAGACATACTAAAACTGCAACTACTTGAGACCCTATTCCTACCCCCCCCCCCCCTTGTAATGAAGCAGGGGTAAATACAAGACAATGTGTAACATTGTGCTCTAGATAAAAACTCACAAACACACGCAATGCTCAGAGATGTGAATGATTATTTACCAGTTTTGATGCCCTACTACTGCCATCACTTAAATAATTAGATTACAAAAGAGAGGCGAGTTCAGGATCAAACCTTCCACACGTAATGCTATGAACTGAGAAGAGGTGAATTGCATTGCGTCCATCAGAGCCACGCAATTGTTAATGATGTCGGTATATTGAAAATTTGACTGCCGATCAACAATACCAATACCCTCCATTTTAAGTACCCACGGTGTTTTACTGGACTTTGGAAAACCTTATTATATCCGTTTGAGATATGGCTGTATGTCATTTTTTATTAATGTTGTGCAACTCACCACTCGCGTAAGCTTACAAAATGCCTTTACTTTTACTTACAGCAGTTTCGAGATAAAGAGGCTTTTTGTCAGAGTAACCAATTGAAAAAGTTTTCTTCCGAAATTTATGTTCTAATTTATTCAAAAAATAATCACAGTTTCAGTTTGATTTTTTGACACAAGAACCGTAACTGATGAGCTTTTCGATTTAGCAAATAAAACAATTGGCGCCAAAAATGAAAAAAAGCGTTCTGTAAGCTTACGGCAGCAGAATAGCCGTTTTTTGAACACTCGCTGAATAATTATAGCTTAATGAAAGAAAACAAAAGTTCTTACGTCATTTCAATGAAAGAAATAAAATGTTGTTGTAAACTAGTTTTATTGTTATATATGGAACGATCACATCTCAATCACTTTGTCAACTGACTCACCTCGAAAACTGTTTTCGTGAAACTATGTTATTTTTGTTACGAAGAAATTATGTAACGTTGGATAGCAATGGCAAATGGATTTTTTTTATATCGTAAAAAAATTCGCAGCTTTTATACTTTTTTCCGAAAGTGCACAGATCTGAAGCTTTTCCCACGGAAGTCCAGGCGATTTTTTCTGAAATCATTTAAGGGGTTGGAATTTGAGTTGTAGGCATTTTTAGCTTCCTCAGCTTCTTTTATAACTATTTCATCACGTAAGAAGCCCCAAAAACCTTTTCTTCCAATACCAGGCATGTTTGTCACCACCATTTCCTCATAAAGTCGATATTTTATTTTTCTTTATCGCCCGTTTTCTCAAAACGCGGTTTTTCTATATACATTTTTGAATTACTCCACCATTTTTCTTCCAATCTTCATGAAATTTTCACAGAATGAAGAAAAGACGAAATACTAAATACTTGTTTGAATTTTGGATATGTGTAACAGATTTTTGTTTGTAGTGTCTGGAGTGTGGATTTTCACGGACTTTTTGCAATCTTGAATATTTCCTCAGGAAAAAATGTATTAAAAAATTTCTATTTCATTTTGGAAAAATTCAACAGACGAATTTTTAGATCTAATGTTTGCTTACATGCATGCACCCCCCCTCCCCCCCCTCCCCCCTCCCCCCCCCTCCCCCCCCCCCCCCCCACACACACAAAAATCAATTTCCATGAAAAATAAGTGAGGTACTCATTGCGTAAGATATGTCAACAAAATCCAATATGGTGGCCGTGTCCATGGAAACGAAACTTTTTTTCTCAAATTTGATTGCGGTTTCTAAAACTCCTTACTATGCTTGCGATATGTGTGAAATTTGGTAAAATTTGATCCTCTAATACGCGTGACAGCCTTCAGGTGTTCTCCCCCCCCCCCCGCCCCGTTAAAAAGCTACGTATTGACGTAATGAAATTTTGCGTAACCAAAGACCAGGTTAAATTAGTATGTGCATCCCATATAATTCCAGTGTATAAACAGTGTTTCTGTGTACTTTCAGTCAAAACCCACGTTATATTTGTCCGTTAGATTTATTTACAAGGAAACAGACTTTGCGTGCAATTTTTTATAAACATAAAAAGTCACATTTTAAATAATGAATACTCAAAGTAACAATAGGCCAGTTAAGTAAAGTGTATTAAACATAGAACTGCAGTTCTGCTTGTGGTCAGAGGAAATCAATATTATAATTTGCATTAGTATAATTCTGTCGAACCCATGCTCTTTTATTCCATTATTGACGACCCAGGTATACGAATTCCTTCTTAACTATTTGACATTGTTGTTTTTGTTTGTTTTGGTAAGTGTATTACAGCTATTGCAACTGCATAATAAGGTCATATTAGCGCGCAGGACGAACTAAACATTTTTAATTCGATTGGAATTAATTATACATTTTGCCCGGAAGGGGGTCGGAGCCTACTCTTATCGATTTTAGAATCAAAAGGGATCTTTAACGTGCGCAACTTGCACACGGGACCCCCGAGATTTTACGCCCTTATCCGAGAAGGTTAGGTGTTTGATCTTGCCTACGCTTAGACTTAGATCAGGGGTATGGTTGAAAGACAGCAGTAAGAATGGTAAAAAAGTAGCAGTAGAAATGCTGCAGAAAAAGCCAGGAGCCCAAAGGAGGGAGCAAAGGGGTGGGAGCGGGAGGGGGTGGTGGAGAAAGTGGAGACGAAAGCAACCGACAGAACATGGTTAGCGTGCAGGTAATTAGGGGAAAGTAGAACATCTTATTGAAGAACATTTTCCTTGTCGCTGTCAGGTTTCCAACCCTGGACCTATTACATGAGAGACAAACACCTTAACTTCGACCACTAGAGCCCCCATTCTGAAGTTAAAAGTCTGAAGCTCCAGTAACGGGATCTTTTTCTGAACCTAAGATTTAGCAATGACTGCCTCCAAGTATACAGTTAACGTTTCCGTTCAGACCTTTCGAAAAGAAAAGAGAAGAAAGATGCTCAGCATCAGACGCGCACAGGCGCGCGCGCACACACACACACACACACACACACACACACACACACACACACACACACACGCACACAAACAAACAAACAAAAACACACTCACACATGCACCCACATACACACATAAACACAAACCCACAAAAAAACACATATTCACATTTATAAACAAACGAACAGCACATCCATGGCTCACAAACACAGGCAAACGGATAAACTTAACAAACATACTTAAAAGCACACACTTACAAGCACACAGACATACACACAAAACACATCCAGGCGAAACAAGTGCGTGAGATCTGACTTATCCCTCTTTTTCCTGTTTTCCTGAATTTTGCTTGCTATTGTAATTATTTTTAAAATAAAAGCTAAAAACCGAATTTTGTAATTTAAAGAAAAAAGAAAAAAAAATGTACTAGAATAAAGCTTTCAATTATAAGTATTGCATCGAAATTAAATTGTCGAAACCTTTTTCCTGATAATTTTTATTAACACAAAAAGTAAGGAAAACATCAAACGATTCTCTTTTTTTAAACAGTAAAAAATGACCATTAACAAGTTAAACACGTAATGGCGCGACCCTACGATTGTATCTACAATTGTTGTAGATCTAGTGGATTTTCAAGCCTCCTTCTCTTGCTTTTGTTTTTGTTCGTATTCTTGTTCTTGTTCTTGGTATTGTTCCTGCTCTTATTCTTCTTCTTGTGCTTGCTCTAGTTCTTGGTCTTGTTCTTTTCACCATCACCTTTATCGTCACTATCATCATTATTATTATCATGATCACACGACAAATACAAACACAATAACAGCAATAAAATAAAACTGAATTACGTTTGAAGATTAGAAAATTACAAACACCATTTCTACCATACGCACGTAGCGCTTAAGTACACGTATCGTACGTCTTTCCTTGTTTTGCAGTATATGTGTAGATGTGACACGTAATACTTTGAAATTCTCAATCTTTAAACAAGGTGGTAAACTGACTCGACACCCCATGGCCTGAATTTGTTATTTATTCCAGATCACAGTCGAACCTGATCTAAGGGAGACAACTTTCGTAGAGCCACGTTTCTTTATCAGTGTCAATGACAATACGAAGCACCATGGGGACTGAAATCATTATTGTTCTTTTTATAAGTAAAACGTTACCTGAAATTTTAAATGTAGCTCAATATCTACCTTGATTAATGCCACTGGTCACTGATTATGTTCTGACTTTGGACCAAATAATTGAGTTACAATTCAGTGTGGATTAAAATTACGTAGATCTATGGTGATGTCTTATACTGGAGAAGTCGGTATGACAATGAATGTGTTCAGCTTGTTGAATCGGCATAATCGGGCACGGAAAGAAGTGATAGTAGTTGAGAAAGAACACTTTGCGAAAGGACACTCTAGGAACCTGCTTTACCCACCTCACATCCAGCGACGCGACAGATCGCAGAAAGTGACGTAGCAGCCCAGTGTAGAGCACGACTATGTCTGTGAGCGAGAGTGCGATGAGGTAGACAGATGCCTGGCTCCCACGAAGGTTTCGACGGCTCATCACTATGATAGAGAGCACGTTCCCAACCGTGCCCACAACCAACAGGACTGGAGACACCGTCTGGGGAGGGAAGAGGAAAACCTTGGGTTTTTTCTTCCTTTTCAAGACAAAAAAGGTTTTTAAAAAATCAATATAATTCTTTTCAAAATTGCCTTTCTTTAAAAGAGTGGAACCTTGAAATTTCAAGTCAATTTTTACTCACTGTAAGAATTAGTTTGATCCAAAACGGTAAACTGACTTCAGTTTATTTTTAAAAATATGTTTAAAAAAACATGATCCAGAAAGTCCTATTTCGGATTCGAACCAAGGCCACGTGTATCACAGTTGGTTGTAATACCAATTATACCGATACAGTTTTCAATTGTATGAACAGGCACATTTTAATGGAATTTGGAAAAGGGGGGG